ATTCATGTGTGCGTGTGTGTGGGTCGAAAAGCTAACGGAAAGATTTTTTGTTTGTATTTTGCTATAATTTTATTCTAATATTTTGTGTTTTTTTTTGTCACCTGAAAAAAACCAAATCAATCAAACACACACACTCACACACTATACATAAATATGCTACACATATATAAACAGGTGTGCAAGGATATCTAGATATAGGATAAGGATATTTGGCTTACAAGAACCTACATACATACATATAAATATTTAAATATGTGTACTAAGTGCCGTACACTTGCATATGTATGCACATGTATATAAATTGGGTATGACGCATTTCTTGCATTCACCCATTAATAACAAAGGCAACAACAATTACAACGAAGCGCAAAAGTTGCTCGATAAAAAGAAAGCAGAAAGCGAAGTCCGCGCGTCCTCCATTTCATTTCATTCATACATGCACACATGCATACATATGTATGTACATGCATATGTTTGCCTCTCGATGCGTAGATGTTTCCACACATGACGAGCGAGTTCTTCTGCATGACGCAAGAGAGCCTCTATTATCATTATACTGTTTGGCTCTCTCACTCTCTTTCTTTTCGCTCGCTGCCTCCTTTACTGCCCTCACGCATGAGCTTTTGGATTTTGCAATCGATCATTGAACTTTGGTTGTGAAAACTAGAGCAAGACCCAAATTTCTTCAAAGCTTTCGAGTCTTTGGCAGCCAATGCGCTGCTGCGTATTTAACTCTACACACATACATACGTACATAACTATCTATGTATATGCATACCATGTTATTGTATGCACAGAAGCTTTTTATATATGGTGTTATCGGCTTCCCTCTCTGTTGCTCTTACTCTCCGATTGCTGTAACGCTTTCTTTCTTGTTTGCTGCGATTGCCATTGCCGCTTATATCAAATGATTTCTACCGTTCTCTTGTCGTGTGATAAAATGAAACCAAACCGATTTACGAGGTGCCTGATAAGCGCGTATAATAAACATATTCGAAAGTATGAAATGTAAATAGGACAAAGAACAAGTACATACATACATATATAATACAGACACACATCAATTGTGTTAAAACATATACAAACATGCACATGCATGTTAATATATTCATGTAAAAAGTTTTAGGGGGGGAGGGGGTGGTATGGAATTTATTATCTGTCTAGAACAGTCTAACGGAGCACCAACTCCCCCCTTGCCCATGGGCAGCGATCGCAGTCAACTTCGCGTGAAACTTTTAACCCAAACTGTTTAGTTCAGATTTTTGGTTCAGTTTGGCAAAATGACGGCGACAGAAGATAAGAGAGAGCGTCGGCAAGCGTGTGTGTGAGTGAGTAGCTGGCTGCGTGTGCGTCTGCGGCAAGTTCATTCACATTTGCACTCATTACGCGGCCAAAGCCAAAACCAACGTTGACGCCGACGCCGACGCTGACGCTGACGTCGACGCGGCTGCTCTTGAAATTGAAACTTCTGCGGCCAGACGAAAGCTACAAGCAGCGCCTCTCTCGATTCGCCCCGCTCTGCAGCGACCCATATTAATACTAATGCATTGATATTTGCTTTTCACAATTTGCCTTAGGCCTGCAGTCCACTGCACGTTGCAGGTGACAAAATGTTTTCGTGGCTTAATAACAACAATTATCGCATGCCATTAGCATCGTTTTGTATGTCATGCAATGGGCGCAGCGAGTAACTGTAATTTTGCTGAATGCATAATCCGAATAACGAATAATCGCAGTGTCCGTCTGGACTCCTACGACCCACCCTTTTGTTCTGCAACGTGCCAACGACGTACAAGGTAAATTGCGAAATGTTGTTTTTTTTTTTGTTATTTTTTTGCGCTCCTAACATGTACGCCCCGCTTGCCGCCTTTTAACGCCATTACCTGTTCAGTAGGCCAGTCGGAAATCGCTTCGAACATGCTGTCACGTTTGCCGTTTGGCCGACTCACGTTTTTTCAACAGCACAGCTACCTTCGCAACGTGTCGCGCCGCAAACAGGTTGGAACACGATGATTGGGGGACAGGGTTTGAAGGATAAACCGGGAGCATGTCTGGATGGATTTGATTTTTCACGTTGTAAAGCCAGCTCCCCCCGCACACACGATTCTTTAGAAAATACAATTAGCGTTGAACCACTTTCTAGGTCAAATCGGGACTTGTTTTCCATGTTTCGTATTATAAATATTAATTTTCTATAGTTTTATTATATATTCAATATTAACAAATAATGTATCCGCATCGGACAAGGGTAGAAAGTGCATTTTTGTCAATACATGCATTCATTTGCATTTACAACAACTCAGAATATTACATAATTCCCCGCTCGCTGAGTGACACAACAGAGAACACGAGTATATAAAAAAATAAAAAATAAATGACTCATAACTGTTAATTAGTATTTGTGAGTTGAACAGGAGAAATAAATTAAAGTCATAGAACAATGAAATGAATATGAGTATGAATATAAATATGAGTATGAGTATGAGTATGAATATGAGTATGAATATGAGTATGAATATGAGTATGAATATGCATATGAAAATGAATATGAGTATGAATATGAATATGAATATGAATATGAATATTAATATGAGTATGAATATGAGTATGAAAATAAATATGAATATGAATAAGAGAAAGAATAAAAATAAGAATATGAATATGAATATGAATATGAATAGAAATATGAATACGAATAAAAATAAGTATAAGAATTGTAACAATTGGAAATCATGCGCACAAAGTTGGCGACTCGCTCATTTCCATCGCGGACTCAAGTCGCGAACACGTGAGCCACTGTCGCGGGAGCGTTGCACTGTCGACTGCACATTTCCCGACACGTGATCAGCGCCAGCGCCCGGCAAGTATCAAGTATAAATAGCCCGTCGTCAGCCTTAGGAGGCGTGGTGGCAGTGCTGCGTAAGGCGAAGGGGGCGGGTCGGCGGGCTGGCTGAGCTGTGTAGCTGGCGACAGCTTATATTACGTTCGCTGTTGCTGCTCTGCCGATTTCGACGCCGATGACGACGGCTCTGTTTCGTAACAGTCCGGCGTATTTGCACTAACATTATCTCACTCTAATATGTGCATACATAAGCACTCGCACAGATGTGTGTACATATATACTAAGCCATGCACCTGCGTTATAACCTAAGAGCAAATTTTATATTCCTATTCTCATTTACATTCATTATATCATTCTTTACGCAATTAACTGCAAACATTCAATCTTTGCATTTGAATAATGCTAACATATCCAGATTTTAAAATTCTGCATCCTGAACGGAAGTGGCTCGGATCACGTGTACCTGTCGCAGGAGCTGGAGCTCGAGTCGGATTCATATTCATATTCATATTCATATTCATATTCATATTCATATTGATATTCACATTCATACTCATATTCATATTCATATTCATATTGATATTCACATTCATACTCATATTCATATTCATATTCATATTCATATTCATATTCATATTCATATTCATATTCATATTCATATTCATATTCATATTCATTGCCCGATTTTGATAATTTTGCGATAATGAGTATTATTTCGAATTTATTACTGAATAATACATAAAAGTACGCTCACAATTATGAAATATAGATTGTTTATAATGACGCAAGTAACTGTCAATGTCAAAAAATATATATATAATATTGTTTTTGGAATCCGAAGAACTGAATTATCAATGCGAGTCTTACAATAAAAAAAACTCCGGCTTGCATTATTATCGCTTATGTAACTGTAGACTTATATGGGAATTGTTAATTAGTTATTATTATAAAAAATGTTGTTGCAATTGTTTTGCACACAATCTATATTCTTTACATTTTTACATATGTACATACTTGATGCAAATGAACAAAAGGGTAAAATTAATTGGAGTTTCTTCATCAGCTTCTTTTTAGTGAAAAAGCGGCGCTAGAATTTGTTATATAAGGTTTTAGGTTTAAATTCTATATCAAAGATCTAATCGAAATGAGATTTAAGCAAGCTCACCTCTCCCTACTGTTAATTGGGTATAAAGTTTCAAGCTCAAATTCATTGCCAAGGATTCTTATAAAAGTTCATTTCAGAATGGTTTTTGCTTTACAATTTTACTGAATCAGAGATCTGGATCGTGGATAGAAAAAAAATTGAACGAAAAAAGAGACTTTGCAATTTGTTTCCAAGATAACTCATCAAACTCAACATCATTCATCAAACTTAGAATCATTCATCAAACTCAGAATCATTCATTGAACTGAGCATCATTCTATTAGGCTTATTAAATGATTATGGATACAGGATAAGCAATAATATAAACAAGTCTAGATTAAATGAGATAGATAATGTATCTACGACTGTTTCACTTCAATTATTTAAGATGTAAGCACTTAAATTAGTGCAAGCATCCTTAGAGAGGCACCCTGCCAGACGACCTTCCAGCCAGGTTAATCCGTGGGCGTTCTAAGTAAGACGCTTGCGTCACCACAAAACATTGTGCACATGAAAACACATGTATAAATACAAACAAGAATACACATACATGGGCATATGCATGGATACATTGAATGCGGAGTGCCCAGTTAAATGCAACGCAATATCCTCATAAAACACCTTCCGCCCTTATCACTGCCATTGTCACTCACCTCACCGCTGATAGCCAACAGACGCAGTCACGTTCTAGTTTTCAAATGTACAGCTCAAAATGATTTCTGATTGCCGTTGATTACTCAACCATGGAATGTATGTATGTATATACGTATGGCAATGTGATCGGTTGCAACTGGCAGCGCGCAACAGGCGGGCAGCGTTCATAAGAGTATAATCAGATTGCAAACCGTTAAATTTCACTTTTCTCAATGGCCCACAGTTCTGGTTGTTAGCTTCGAACATGTTGGCATATGTTCGATGTTCGAAGGCAGTCGCGTGTCGCTACTGCGTGCAGCGGCAACGTGACCGGGCTCCGATTGGACTGCGGCTGCCGAGTGAAATGCTTTTACAAATTCAATTGCGATTCAGCATTCGTTCGAAGCGGTTGTGGATGCGCTTGCGAGCCGCGTTATATTTTGTGAATGGAGTGCAATCAAATCCCAGACAGTTAAATCTAAACAACCGTTACAAGTGTTTGGGACATGCAAAAAATTACAAAATAATAATAATAATAATAATAAAAAGAACACTTAATCTTCACTTCAAGTGCATTCTAGTGTAAAAACTTATTCTGGAATTACTAATAAACATTCAAGTGCACATGCATCAGTGTGTTTGGCTTGTTTGGCAATCCGATCGAATTGCAAATCTGAATGTTAATGCTAATGTTAAGTCAACAGTGCAATTACATGAACAATGCTTGAATAATTAAATGTGATCGGGCACTTAAAACATTATGTCGATAGAAAGCCCGTTGGAGCGAAAAGTTAACTTTTTTCATGAGACTGCAACAACTAAAAGTTTATTTATATTTAAAAACAACAACATCGTCCAGAACAATAATTTAACCGATAAACTGTGCAGCAACACAAAAAATAATAACAAAAGCAACATCAACAGCAACGGCTTCAACACACTGCATACGCAGTGCACTACTGTATCAGCAACAAATATTAAAGCTAGATGTAAGTGCAACAATAACAACATTCAGAATTTCTGATTGTTAATTTAAAACGCAAAACAAAACCCATGAAAAAGTAGAATGACACACGAGAGAAAGAGAGAGTGAGAGAGCGCGCAGCAGCAGCGCGCTTAGTCATGTTGTTTTTGTGAATTTCGACACAGGCAGCGGCAGCGACAGCGGCAGCGGCGCACCGATTGCAGCGAAGTGTTGTCGTCGTCTGTTGCTTTTATTTGTACCAATGTGGCTGCTGCTGTCGGCGTAGGAGTCGTAGGGGTTGCCGGCGGCTACGACGTTGGCAGCGTCTGGCTGCTGACGTGAGTAGCCAGTTTATAGAAACGATTATGAATGTATGTGTGCGCGAGCGTGTGTGTGTGTGTGCTGTAGCACGTTGAACTGCAAATGCCAATTTGATGGTCACGGTGAGGGTGAGGTGACAACAACAGCAACAGCAACAGCAACACAAAACAGAATACCGACCAATCCGTGTGATTTCTTGTTTACGTTGCCATTTTCGTTTGCATGTGTGTGTGTGTGTGTGTCGATTGAGTGTATACGTGTACTTGTTGTTGTGCGTTCTTTGTGCTGGTGCTGTCGTCTAATTCACTGATTCTTGCATCATTTGCCGTAATCATTGTGTAAATGGCTGGCCGCCTTAAAAACGAAAGCTCATGTGCATACAGTACACGTATCTACATACATACATGCATACACAAGACGTACATGTATGCATGCATGCATGTATGCTTATTCATGCAATTGTATGCATGTACAAAATTATAATATGTATGCATGTGTGTGTGTAAGAAAAAGACAAGGCCAAGGACCAGATAAACAATGACTGAGCAGGCGTATGCATGTGTGTGTGTGTATGTATGTAACATATACCCACATGCATACAAATACGTATGTATGTAGTGTATGTTTGTTTGGCCAAACAAGATCATATTAAAATGTGTTCACAATAATTAACGTACATACAATATATATATATTAAATATTATTATAATATTATATGCATGTATAATTAACTAAAATTCTAAAATATGGAAAATCTATAAAAGAAAACTGAATTGTGGCCTCATATTAAAGTTGATCTTGCATTTTCTTTACAGTTAGACAAACAGGGCAGAAGCTTCAGCTGCCGCTGCTGCAGCAAGAAGAACAAGAGCGCTTGAGGGACAGCGTAAGCAGCCAATTAGCGCAGCTGCTACCGCTTAAGCAGGAGCAGGAACTGCGGGTGATCACGACGCCGACCGCAATGCCCGAGGTGCTCGCCGGTACACCCACACAATCGCAGAATAAAGCATCTGCTGTCGCAGCATCCGTATCCGTATCCATGATGAGCAGTGTGCGCTTGGCAACCATTTCACCCAGTCTGTCCATGAACGGCAGTTCCAACGAGGCCACAAATTGTAAGTAGATTCGGTAAAGTGAACACTTTGCAACTGTTTATCATTTGATTTATCTATGCTGCAGTGCATCCCCTGTCCATGTACGGCGGCTCAATAAGCCCACAGTCAAACGATAGCGGCATGTCGGACGGCCACTCGCACAGCCTGAGCAAGTTTGTGCCGGGCAACGGTTACGCGGACAGCCATGGCCACAGTTTGATGAGTAAATCGGCCGGACAGAGCAGCGCCGTGGGTGAGGCACAATCCACACTGACGGCCGCCCAGAAGGAGCTCTTCTCGCAGCGCAAACAGCGCGAGTTTACGCCCGATAACAAGAAGGATGAAAGCTACTGGGACCGGCGGCGACGCAACAATGAGGCGGCCAAACGAAGTCGCGAGAAGCGGCGCTACAACGACATGGTCCTGGAGCAGCGTGTTATTGAGTTAACCAAAGAGAATCATGTGCTGAAGGCGCAGCTGGACGCTATTCGCGATAAGTTTAATATCTCGGGCGAGAATCTGGTGAGCGTGGAGAAAATTCTCGCCTCTTTGCCCACCAGCGAGCAGGTGCTCAGCAATACGAAGCGCGCCAAGATGAGCAGCAGCAGCAACTCTTGCTCCTCTTCATCTTCGGGCTCCTCGCCGGCTGGTGCCGGCTGCAGCTCACCGACCGCGCACACACACAGCGGCTACATTAGCTCCAATGCACCCTTGCTCTCGCCCATCGTGTACGGACCGAGCGGCAATTCTGCCAGCGAGTCATTGACATCATCATCATCGTCCAACAAGAATGGCCAGCATCATCTGGGGCAGCATGGACCACCACCACCACCGCCGCCGCCCCATCCCCAATCCCATCCGCATTCGCATTCACATCCGTACCACCAGCTGCAACAGCCAGCCCATCATCAGCAAGTGCAGGACGCTGCTCCAGCCTCAGCCTCAATGGATGGACACAACCGGCCGCCAAGCAACGCCATCGCCAATCTGCATGTGCTGCAACAAGCGCTGCACCGCAACGTGAGACCCCAGGATTTGGACAGTCTGCGCAAAGTTGTGGCCGTTGGAGCGCTATACAACGCGGCGACTGTAGGCGCGGCATCGCCAGCCGGCGCGACGATATATACACCTGCACCAGTGAATGCCAATGCCAGCGCAAGTTCACCCACAGCCGGATACGTTGCCATCAGCAAAGATCAGCTGGAAGCTAGCTATGTGGAGGGTGCCGTCAGCAGCAGTGCGGTGGATACAGTGAGCAGCACCTGCTCCGCGGTCGTCAGCTCGGCTGCGGCCAGCGTGCTGAATCTGTCGAGACGTGCCTGTTCGCCCAGCTACGATCACATGCTGTCCTCGACCACATGCCTGACGTCCCATCGCTCGTCGGCGTCTTCGTGCGCCTCGTCGTCAGGCGCCGTTTCCGGCGATGATGAGCAGGAGCATGATGTTGCCGATGTGGCTGCTCGCTCGCAGGATTCGCATGCGCTGGCCTGCATGCAGCGCAGCAGTCCAGCACATGGCAGCGAAGCCAACAACTGTCTGCCATTGAAGCTGCGCCACAAGTCGCATCTGGGCGATAAGGATGCGGCCGCAACGGCCCTGCTATCGCTGCAGCACATCAAGCAGGAGCCCAACTGCAATCGCTCCTCGCCGCCCGCATGGAACGATGGCGGCGACAATTCCAGCGACGAGCGCGACTCGGGCATTTCGATTGCCAGCGCCGAATGGACGGCACAGTTTCAGCGCAAGCTGCTGGCGCCCAAAGATGCTGTCGTATCGGTTGCTGTTGTCGCCAACGTGGATCGCGATCAAATGCTCAAAAGCCAATTGGAGCGACTCGAATCGGAGGTGGCCAGCATCAAGAGCATGATGATCCTGGCCGATTAGATTGACAGGCGCAAGGGGAGAGAGAGCGAAGAGACAGACACAAAACATGTAAAGAAGGCAAACAATTTGTTTTGATATATAAGTATATTTTGACGCCGATGTTGCTATGGCCAGACGTATGAGGCGTTCTCTGAGCAAGCAGATGCTGCTGATCCCTAAATGTGCACACCCATCCCATGTCCAGGGGCAGCTGAGGGAAGGCCGCTGTGCTTTCAGATTTGTTGCCATTGGGTATTTCTGTGTAGAGTTTCGATAAATATGGATATGCGATTAACTACTTATATAGATCTCGTTTAATTAGGAGCGCAAATAATTGGCCGCCGCCGCACTTCAAAATCAACTAGCTGGTTTTTTTTTCTTTTTAGTTTTCTTCGATTGTCCCAAATACATCATAGTATGCATGTATGTACAGTGTGTGTGTACATCAATGAACACTTTTTGGAGCTGAAAACGTAAAGAAATGAAGAAAAAAAAAAAACTATATACTATGCTTTAACCGATTACTCATTGTTGTTCTCTAAATGTATATTTATGTATAATTTAATCAAAACAATCCTAAGTATTTACTGTTGTACATTAAACATAAGTTAAAATAGGTTCTAATATTGTATGTATGCAACTAGTTTTCAGCTCGTTAAATTTCCATTTTCATCAGCTGTGTAAAAATATTCCTAAATTATCATTGTACATATACGCATGGCAATATATTTAGGCAGAAATAATTAAATATATTATTATAAGAGTAGGATAGCAGCATTAAGTATAATTGCAAAAGCAAAGCTTATTTATTATTACCATATCACAAAGCAAATACGATAAACAATTAGTTAAGTTAAGTAATTGAACCATTAACAATTTCCAACAGGCGTCCAATACTAGAAGTTTTCAAAATATGTGTATAGCTGGTTAGCTATGAAAAGGCTTTCCATACAGGAAATGATTAAAATTTCAACAATAATCTGCATATATCGATGTTTAAACTATTTTGGATTTTATAGTGTATGTACGGATTCGGATTTATAAAATCGGATCCAAGATAAAGCATGCCAAGGCCGTGTTTGCATTGCATTGTTTTATGTGCTTTGCTTGACATTAACATTTGCCGAGGGCAACATTTAGTTAATAAGTATATATAAGTTCTATTACCGATAATTCTATATCCTAATAATTATTTATACCTATTGTTAACCCAACTCGTTTGTAAACATATATATATATATATATATATCTATTTGATTGTCACACCTTGCATAATAAAGGTGTGACATTCCATAAATATATAAATAAATAAAAAAAACATGCATTGCGATTACACGTATTCAATATTGATCTATGCAAATAAAACAATTTATATTGATTAAATATAGAATAACATATTATTTAAAACTAAAATCTTGATAATTGAGTTGCAAAAAGATTGTTTGCTTGTACGCAAAAAAAAAAGAAAAAGAAAATGCCTTCATATAAAAGTAAAATATCTATTAAATATATATATAATATATAATTTGCATCGAGCTAATTAGTTTTTAGTTTATCACTAACCAAACAACATTTAGAAAGAGAGAGAGAGCACTGAGAGTAAGTGTGAGCGAGATAAAAAGACACAGCACAAATCATATGGAAGAGAGTAAGCCGAAGCAGTTGCCCGTAGTGTAAGCGAATAAGAAGACATCATATGTATATCTTGCTCAGTTGCTCAGTTGCTCGCGTTTTTGGACCTGATGTCTACAATAATTTTCGGCACACTATTTTCGTTCGGCATGTCCCAGTCTAAATGTTGTTTGGTTAGTGCTGTAAAGCAACAGGACGTACTTACCTTTGATATAGATGTAAAAGAATGTTTTTTTTGTCAAATTTTGAAAATTATGCTAGTCAAAACGTGTCCAATTCAATTGACTTTGTTTATACTTCTGGCAAACTTCAGCGTTCCGGCAAAATTATCAATGGGCAAATCGATCGTGTCGCTCAATCCGGAGAGTTTTGAAAGCGCCTCGAAAAGTCGCATTTTTTTTGTTGAGTTTTATGTGCCAGGATGTTCGAGCTGTTCCCGTTTGTACGTGCTCTTAACTAACTTGCTGGCCACCATCGAGCACAGCTCCAATAATAATAATAATAATATTACAATTGCCGCCATGGACTGTGAAAAACATGAAAAGTTTTGTATCGATAGAAATATAAGCAGCTATCCAAGTTTAGCGCTATTCGAGAAGGGCGGCACGCAATACAAACTCTTCAACGGATCAGCTGAGCTCTACACATTGATCAAGTTTTTGAGCCTGCCAAATATTTCCAATTATCCGGCGGATCGTGTACGCAGAGCCGAAACGAGCTGCACGCCCGGCCGTGTGCTCAAACTGAAATCGGATACGTTCCGGGCGACAATTGCCAGCGGGCGATTTTTTATCAAATTTTTCTCATCCACTTGCCACTATTGCACGGAACTGGCGCCCATTTGGACGGAACTGGCCAAAGGATTGACCGATCAGACTTTATGTATTGCCGAGTACGATTGCGTGTCCGAGAGATCCATTTGCAATGAACTGAACATAAAAACTGTGCCGACAATTCTCTGGTTCCAGGACGGTCGAGTTATCCAAAGGTATACGGGCGCACGGCACATCGATAACCTGCGCACCTTTGTCGAGGAGATGCTCAATGGAACCTACAGGTCGGCGGCTCTGGCAACAATCACAGTCAATAGGGCCCCGAGCATAATGTGTACTGCACTTGTCTTTGTTTACATTTACATAACACAGGGCTATTACCCATAAATTGTCTCGGTCTCCGCTTCTAGAATATCAATATATATATATATATATCGGGTATCTTTAGCTATCGCAATCTCCTTGCTAGCTCCTTAATAGGGATCGGTAGCCTCGACTGGCATTACAAAATTCAAATTCAACAGAAAAAACTTAAGGGTTTTCTTTTTCTCAAAATCGATGGGTTTCAAAAAGTTGTTGACCAAAAAACGATTTCCATCTTTTTGAGCATATCTCGGCCAAATAATGTTCGATTTTGGTATTTTAGAGCATTTTGGATTTCAGTATCGACAAAAAAAAATCAAACGGGTTACATTAGGTTTTTCTCAAATTCTGGGTCGGTTCGAAAATCAAAAACTTTTTTGAATATCTCGCTTAAATATCGTCTGATTTGGGCATGCGATATCTTTTTAAGTTCGTAAGAATTCCAACTTTTCATTGACATATAAACAAAATGAAATTCGATGGGTTTCAGAAAGTTGTTGACCAAAAAACGATTTCCATCTTTTTGAGCATATCTCGGCCAAATAGTGTTCGATTTTGGTATTTTAGAGCATTTTGGATTTCAGTGTCGATTGGCATTAAGAAATATAAAAATCTTAATTTTGACATAAATCGACAAAAAAAAATCAAACGGGTTACATTAGGTTTTTCTCAAATTCTGGGTCGGTTCGAAAATCAAAAACTTTTTTGAATATCTCGCTTAAATATCGTCTGATTTGGGCATGCGATATCTTTTTAAGTTCGTAAGAATTCCTACTTTTCATTGACATATAAACAAAATGAAATTCGATGGGTTTTAAAAAGTTGTGGACCAAAAAACGATACCCATGTGAAACCAACCTTTTTTTTCGAATATTTCGACCATTTTAGCATTAGCATTAGCATTAGCATTAGTATTAGATTATTAACAAAACATTTATGTACTATTTATTTATTAAGACTTTTATTAAGTTGCCAACAAAAAAGTTGAATAATATCGTTGAAACATAATTCAAGTTTGCTCCTCAATTTCGGTTTCATTTACATGGAATACAATCGAAAATAGGTATAATAAGTAAAGGTTTTGTTTATATATGTACGTAAAATATTCAATTATGTATATATATATATAATTAAGTTTTACACGTTAGGTTACTATAAAAAAATATATTTCAATTTATTATTTTCACTTAACGGCTACTTTTGTTGAGTACATTCAGATTTGCTTCCCGAATATGAACTGATTTATCTAACTGTTGCGGTCGCTTAGCAAACTTCGCTTTGAGAGAGTTTGAGTCAAAATTGAGTGAAGTTTGAGCTGCGTCAGCAATTATGCGTGGGATAGTACTCTGATGGGAACATTGACAGTGGCGTGATATTTAGGGTGAATTGTTTATGTCTACCAAAGGGGGACAGTTTGATCTTGACCAATGTCGATGTTATCACCAGGCTCTTTGTTTACAATATTAGAAATGTTTATAATTGTGCTTATGCTTATGTGCTAAGATATGTTAAAGGGTGGGTGCGACTATGGATATGTCACTCCCCCAACCATTAGAAAAGTGCCTGTCCTCAGGTGTTTAAGTTTGGATATAGTGTAACATTTTCTTCTTTTACAATTGGTATATCTCCTATTATTGTAGGTGTTTCTTCTACTTTGGGTTTTTTATATTTTATAATTAATTTCTTAGGTATGCTTTTGAACTTATATGTCAAATACAGTGTTAAACTTATTAATATGATTACAAATATGGTTATTGTAATTATCTGGAATACATTGTTAAATTTTGTATGTGCATTTATAATTTGTTTCGTTTGTACAAACGAAAGTGGTTCTAATTTTATAACATCATTGCTTACGTAAATGCTTTGAGTATAATCTAACATATTGTTTGAAATTGAAATTTCATTAATTTGCAATGAACAATTAAAGATTTTTATTATATTGTTTCCTTCTATTGTTATTTCGTTATTTATACAATTATGGTTTAATATAGTTTTTGGTAAATTCCAAGTTAAAATTATATTTGGTTCTATGTAGTTGATTTGAAAATTTTGCAAAATTTTAGTATAACTACATTCTGATGTTATTTGGTTTAAAATTCCTGTTAAACATTCATTATTAATTAATTTTTTTGTTTCTCTGCTATAAACTTTTTTATCTTGGGTAAAATATTTTTCATGAGCTATTTCTGTCAAAATATTATTATTTTCATCCGGGTATGGAATTATTTCGAATACCGGGCTTTTTATTATTTCTCGAGGAATATGGGATATTATCAGTATTTCGTTTGTATCTGATTTAAACCAAGTGGAAGTTTTTGTATTCAACAATTTCTCAGAATTAACATGCAACAAATAGTCATGTTTTAGTAATTTTGGGTTAAAAATTCCTAATCTTGTGAGCTGCATTCCCATCTCAATGTCTTCTATATATTCTGTAAAGTGTTGTAAGTTAAATATAAGGATATCTAATTTCTTTCCTTTTTGTTTCTCTTGATCTAGTTCGTTCATGATTTCTATTCCTTTGTTTATAGCTTCTATTATGTAATTTAATTCGTTAACCTGAACGCTGTTTTCTGCTAAGTTGCTTATTTTTTGTTCAATTTCTGCTTTGTCTTCTTGATTTAATGTTCCAAATAAGTATTTATATGCTGTTCCTACTATGTTAACTAAACCTCTTTTGCTACGTTTGGCTATTTTTAAGCCGTTTATTTCTCTGTTTAATTTTTCTACTAGGTATTCGATTTGTATAAGGTTATTGAATTCTTTACTTTGTTCAATTAAATTGTTAAAAGTTTCTTCGGTTTTTGTTGAGGTTATTTATTAGTTTTTCTTTATTAGCTTGAGTGTCATACTCTGGTGTACCTGCATATATGAATATGTCCGCTGGTGTTCTGTTAGTCGTTTTGTGCTTTGTTTTATGATTGTACGTGTAGAGTATAGTTTCAAATTTTGTAAGTTTATTTTCGACGTCTGAGTCGCTGTTAATGATTCTTAGTTTTTCGTTAACTGTCTTATGAAATCGTTCTACGTCGGATATACCGTTTTTACTAGTGGTTATATTAATATTTACTGCTTCTGATTTTAGCCATAATTGTAAAGCTGTGCACATAAAAGCTGAGTCTTTGTCTGCCTTTATTTCGATGGGTTTACCCATTTGGTTGAACACTTGTAATATAGCTCGTTTGGTTTCTAGCCAGTCTCTACTTTTTATTTCTATTAATGATGCAAATTTTGAATAGATATCAATGCAAGATAAAAATTGTTTATCTCCTACTATGTAAAAATCCATTACATATTTTTCTCGGATATTAGCGATTTCCGGAGTTATTTCGAAAGTTAATTTTGTATCTCTGTGTTCTGTTTTTGCGATGTTGCAAATCTCACATTCATTTATTAGATTTTGAATTAGATTTTGATAATCTGGGAAATAGTGGGTTTCTTTGAACCAATTGATAGTTTTTTCAATTCCTGGATGTAATAATTCTTTGTGCTTTTTTAATATTAATTCTTTGAATTCTGCGTATGTTTGAAGGTCTATTAATTTTGTACTAGTTTTCATTGCCTTTGTTGAATTATTCGGACTTATTATTTCTAAGTAGGCTTCTTGAAAAATTGGAAAATCTGCTTCGTTGTGGAAGTATAGCACACTTTTCTTTGTGCATAAGTATTCTTTTATTAATTCTTTGGCATGCGTATTAGTCATGTCTTTGTACGTAATTTTTATGTTGGTTTTGTGAAAGTAATTCGTAACTTTTGTTTCGTTCTCGGTTCCTTTTTCAAATTCTATTTGTCGATTATAATAATTAAGTGGTCTTTCTGTGATTTGTAAATGGTTACTGTTGTCTTCTTGAGCACTATGTATTGTTGCTCTTGTGCTAATTGTATCTTCGCCTAAGAAGTTTTCGTTTAATTGAATTCTGGACAGAGCATCTGCCACATAATTTTCTTTTCCTGGGACGTATTTAATTTGGAAATCAAACTCATTTAGCTTGATCTTCCACCTTTGTAATTTCATGTTAGGTTCTTTCATATTATTTAACCAGACGAGTGGTCTGTGATCACTAAGGATTTGAAATTGTCGACCAAAGAGATAGGACCTAAAGTATTTAGTGGCCCAAACGATTGCTAATAATTCTTTTTCAATCGTTGAATAATTTAACTCATGCTCGTTGAGAGTTCTACTTGCATAGCATATAGGCTTATGCTCTTGCGAAAGGACGGCCCCTATTGCCATATTACTCGCGTCTGTAGTTAATGAAAATGGTTTTTCGAAGTTAGGGTATATTAAAATTGGGTCGGATGTTATGAGTACTTTTAGCTTTTCAAACGCTAGCTCGTAGTCTCTGTCTTTTATATTGATTTTTGCTCCCTTTTTTAATTTAAGTGTTAATGGTTTTACTATATTAGCGAAATTTGGTATAAATTTCCTATAGAAACCACATAATCCTAGAAATGATTTAATTTCTTTTGGGGTTTTTGGAATTGGGAATTTGACAATTGCTTGTATCTTGTTGGGATTTGGTTTTATACCCTCAGTTGTGATGATGTGACCGAGAAATTCAGTTTCTTTTCTCATAAACTCGCATTTATCCAACTGTAGTTTTAAGTTAGCTTCTCTAAGCTTCTTAAATACCTTTTGTAGCGACAAAATGTGTTCCTCCAATGAAGTGGAAAAAATAATAATGTCGTCTAAGTAGACCAGACAATCTTTAAAAATTAAATCTTCTAAGAGATTGTTCATACAACGTTGGAACGTTGCAGGTGCATTCTTAAGACCAAATGGCATGCGAGTGTACTCGTAATGGCCATGTTTAGTCGAAAATGCGGTCTTGGGTATTGAACCAGGATCCATTTGGATTTGGTGGAAGCCTTTGGCTAGATCAATGGTTGTGAAATATTGACATTTTCCAAGTTTGTCTAATATTTCATCCATGATCGGGATAGGGTATTTATCATTAATAGTTAGTTCATTGAGATTGCGGTAATCTATGACTAACCGGAATTTTTGCTTTCCAGATGCATCGTTTTTCTTTGGAACGATTATTACTGGTGAGCAGTAAGGGGATTTGGATTTACGTATGATATTTTGTTTTATCATATCGCTTATTTGTTTATTTACTTCCTCATCGTATATTTGAGGATATTTGTATGGACGCTTGTAAATTGGGTCCTCATGTTTCGTTAGAATTTTGTGTTTAATTGTACTAGTGAAAGTCAAATTGTCACCTTCATGGTACTGGATATCACGAAATTCATGTAAAACTTTTTTTATTTTTTCTTTTTCTTCTGAGTTTAGGTGCTCTAGCCTAAACTCATTGTTTTCTATTAATTCATTATTAATAGCGAAGTTAAATGGTCTGTCCTCTGTTGAGGGTGGATCAAGGCACTCTTGTGCGGTCATGTCCTCTTCGACCTCTTCGTCATTATATCTAAAACAAAAGTTAAATTCTCCTAAGGTTACGGATCCTTGTGCATAGTCTATTTTTGCTTGACATGCCTCAAGGTATTCTCTCCCAATCAGAACATCATAATGCTCTGAGAAGTCGTGAATATAGAATTTTTGTTTGCTCGGACAAATTTTGCTTGCTCCTAATCGTATACTTTGTTTTAATTCAATAACACCATTTATGGTGTGAACCTTTAATGTTTCGTTGTAAACTGGAAAATTTAAGCGGTTTGTTTTCATTAGATTTATGGTTGAACCTGTGTCGATGACACATTTTAGAACTTCGTCATTCATAATCAATTTTATGAATGGATTTCTTCTGTTTGTTCCGAGGCTTGCTGATGAAAATTTTCGGATGTATCCATTTTCATCTGCCCACTGTTACTATCTCTTTGACGTTTAGTCGGAGGGTTTGGTGCATTCAAGCGTGAATGGGACTGATTTTGGTAGTTTAAGGGATTTTGGTATCTACCTTGACTTAATTTCTGTTGGAACTCGTGGTGAGCTTTCTGATTGTCTTCGGACTTATTATGCTGTTTATTTTGTGCGTGATAACTCTGATTCGTGTTGGAATAGCCACTTGAAATGGTGGTTGGGTTAGCATTTTGCTGATAATTTCCCATGTTCCTACGATTGTTATTTGGATTTCCCTGAACATTATTATTTTTAGGTTTTTCAGTAACGCTATTTTCATATAATCCCTCTCTTTGAGCTACTTGCTTTAGTTTTTGTGTCGACGTAATGTCGTGTCTGGCTAACATCATGAAAAGCCTATCTGGTAATTTTTTTGTAATAACATCTTTGATTGTGTTATTCATAGCATTTGTATAAAGGGTTGTATTGCTAGGTATATTTTCTAGTGCTAACTTATTTAAAATAACAAAAGATTTATTCTCGAGCTCCTCGATGAACTTACGGACGTTTCCTTGGTAATTCGTGTTGTATAAGCGTCGAAGGAGTTCTTCAAATGGTGTCTGCACTTTGTATTCTTCAATCAATGCGTTTCTCAGCTCCTGCCAAGTGTTGGCTGCTGTCCTTTGTGATATTCTCTGAGCATCTCCTGTGACTTGCAATTCGATGGCTCCGTATAAGATGCTATGTTGTCTAACATCTCGGGTTGGATACAGGTGTAGGATGTAATCTATCCTTTTAATGAAGGCGTTTAGTTGATCCGTTGATCCGTCAAAGCTTGGCACCTGTCTAAGTTGTGAAAGGGCCTGGTTGAGGTGTTGTTCTGATAATTCCATTGTCATCTTGGTGTAATACACTTTTTTTTGAATAGTTTTGAGTTTGTAGGTTTGAACTTTATTGTTCTTTGATTTTGCACTTTTATTTTAAGTTAAAGTTTGTGATGGATTATTGTGTAAATGTTTTTTTTTTTTTTTGTGTGTGTGTCTTAAAAAGACTCAGTAATAACGTATTGCAGGGATCAAACGATATGCAAAGCCAGTCGTTATTAACTGTAGTAGCTTTATTGCCCAAAGGGTCAATATTATTAAGCTACTAATGACCCGAAGGTTCTTGTGCGGATACGTATTCGAGAAAATTTTTATTACACTCCGACAACACTTTCGGTCGCGATTGTGCGTTAGATCTGGGAATTAATTATCCTTTAGCGATCTTTAATTTTTCCCGACGTATCCTACCGGCTGCGCCAATTAAGTTTTACACGTTAGGTTACTATAAAAAAATATATTTCAATTTATTATTTTCACTTAACGGCTACTTTTGTTGAGTACATTCAGATTTGCTTCCCGAATATGAACTGATTTATCTAACTGTTGCGGTCGCTTAGCAAACTTCGCTTTGAGAGAGTTTGAGTCAAAATTGAGTGAAGTTTGAGCTGCGTCAGCAATTATGCGTGGGATAGTACTCTGATGGGAACATTGACAGTGGCGTGATATTTAGGGTGAATTGTTTATGTCTACCAAAGGGGGACAGTTTGATCTTGACCAATGTCGATGTTATCACCAGGCTCTTTGTTTACAATATTAGAAATGTTTATAATTGTGCTTATGCTTATGTGCTAAGATATGTTAAAGGGTGGGTGCGACTATGGATATGTCACTATATATATGTACATATATGTTGTGTATACGTTAAGTTTAAACATCACATGAATAGTTTACATCAGATTTCTGTAAATATTTGCAGATTTGTTTTCGCTAACGATCTTCGCCTTCTCTGTAGCCCCTTTAACTTGCGATTTGCGATAGAATAGGAAAAAAGCCCATCCCATTCGGTTCACAAAAGGTAAAAACATTGATGAAGACCTGAACTGTACGTAAAATGCAGCTGTGCATTTTTTTTTTTTTTTTTTTTTTTTTGTGCAAATCTTTCCTAGAGTTCATAGAGAATGCGTCGAGGGTGTAAATATGTTTATTGTAAATATCTATATATATATATTATATATGTATATGGTTTTTTTTTATACTTAAAATTGTTCGTTTTTAAGGTAGGTGGTGTGTGTGTGTGTGTGTGTGTGTGTGTTAGGAAAATAATAGTAATGCAACTGAGAGAACTACGCTGAGGATTGTCCCTAAAAAGGGGGCGTGCCAGTGGAACTGTATAGTTGTAAGTTTAGGATTTGAACGACTGCCTCAAAAAATGCATAAAAATAAGTCATTGGCATCCCAGTGTAAGATTTTGTGAACATACTGTGCGACATTTGGAAAACTTTGATTTGGCCAAACACATTGTTCGATTAAGTTAATTTTGTAGTTTCATCATTCGGTTGGGTTTCATTTGTTGTCTTTTTGTTGTGATCTTCTTTTCCAGTTTCAAGATTGTTTTCAGCTAGCTTGTTCAGTCTGGTCCAGCGATAATCGATCTTGGCGCTGAGGTTGCATTTGCGGTTCTTCTTCCTGCATTTCCAATGGCTGTCGTTGCGGTTGTACTTTGATCCGTGCTCCAGGAATGCACCATATTGTAGTATTTGAGATAGTCATAGTCGAATAGCTCGAAATCAATGCGATAAATCTTGAGCAATTGGTCCAATGTGGACCGATCGAGATCGGCAAAATAGCGCTCCACCAGCTCCTCGGATTTGACGCCGTTGCGAGCGCGATTCGCGATTTTGCGCAGCTTGCGTCGCGGCAGCTTGCCCAGCAGCAGGGACTCGAGGCCCGCCTGCCTTATGATGAACTCCGAGTCGCGCTGGAATGTCTCCGTTTTGCCAATGATGCTGAAATTAACGCTGCAAGGTGTGCAGAAGCTGTACACAGGCGCCCAGTGCTCGTCAAACCGATTGCCCGTCGCGTGCTCCTGGATGAGAAAGCGCACGAACTCCTCGAAGGTGGGACCACAGCGGGGAAACGTTCCGCTTGCGCTGCGGCGGCGAAAACGTTGGACGACCTTGGTGCCCAGCGCCTTGTAGAAACTGTTGCGATTGCCCTCCAGCTTGTTGCGATATGCGCTCAGAATCCGCTCGAACGGATCGCGCACAAACAGAAAGGACAATGCGCTGGGCAATAGTTCCAGCAGCTCTGCCAGTCCCGGTCGAGGGAAGCGCTGTCGGGCTAGTTCCAGCGGCTGCACTTCCGTTCGCTGCAGATACTTTAGATCGTAGCCAGCTAAGGAAACAAAAACATGATATAGAGGAAACATATATAGAAAGATATAGGAATCTAGCTCTTAAGACTTAAGAGAAAATACATTATGCCCCTTTCACAAATTCGTTATTCGACTAGGAGACAATCTAAATGGAACGCGAAGCTCCTATTACAGTCATTCTAGCTTTCAGATTCTTAGAAAATTAACATTTCTTCCAGATTATTAATATTTAACATTTATTCCAGATTATTAGAAATATAACAGTTCTTCCAGGTGTGAAGAAAATTAACATTTCTTCCAGATTATTAAATATTTAACATTTCTTCCAAATTATTAAATATTTAACATTTCTTCCAGATTCTTAGAAATTTAACATTTCTTTCAGATTATTAAATATTTAACACTTTTTCAGATGATTAAATATTTAACATTTCTTCCAGATTCTCAGAAATTTAACATATCTTCCAGATTCTTAGAAATTTAACATTTCTTCCAAATTATGAAATATTTAACATTTCTTCCAGATTCTTAGAAATTTAACATTTCTTCCAGATTCTTAGAAATTTAACATTTCTTCCAGATTCTTAGAAATTTAACATTTCTTCCAGGTTCTTAGAAATCTAACACTTTTTCAGATGATTAAATATTTAACACTTCTTCCAGATTCTCCAAAATTTAACATTTAGTCCAGATTCTTAGAACTTAGAACTGTAACATTTCTTCCAAACTGAGGAGGCACGGGAGGAGATAGATTTTTAGACCAAAGCAGCTTGTGATCCATTGACAATGGGTTCACGGCCCCAAAAGTAAGCTAGACTCTTTGTTATATAATCATAATGTTCAAACCAACATGTGGTGCTTATTGCAGTTCTTTCGCTTAATGAAGAGATTGTGAAGATTGGCAAAACCTATATGAACCCAACTTTAGCCCTTTTTCTTTACTCACCCAGTATGTTGAAGTAGTACAACCAGGTGCTGCTGGCCGCCTTGAAGACATTGCACCACACGAGATTGTTGTGGCCGGGCGATATGAAGAACTCCCAGGGATTTGGCGGATACTTATCGTGCAGCTTGTATCGCCCGCACACGGTCGCCAAATGCTCGCGGCGCAGCTTTAAGTCCCGTTCGGTGCGGCTGTGCAGCTCCTCCGAATACTCGTAAGCCGGATTCAATGTGCTCGTTGAACCGGCCGATATATCGCTAGCCACTGCAGAGCTGCCATTCGCCACACTTGGTCGTATGCGTTGCTTAACGCGTTGGCGATGCAGTTGCTTGAGCTTTAGCTTCGACGGTTCAGCGTATTCTGCCGCCTCAAAGCCGGAGGTCGTGGTACGTTCCCGATGCTCGAATGCGTTTAGCGATTCCCGGAACAGGAAGGCAAAATAGAAGATGCCCACCAAGACAAAAGTGCCTATTTTCAGGTACGTATGTAGGCGTCGTCCGGATGGCAAACGGATGTGCATTTTGAGTGGAGTCTGCGGATCCTTCTTCTCCTGCCCGGCTTACAGCGCCAACATGTTAAGGACTGTCGATGGGCTGGTGAAACTAAATATTCAAACGTGCAACAATTAATTTAATATTTAAACGGGGATGGGGTCAGGGGTCACGCTCTTCCATTATTAATTGAACCCAAGGATCTCAGAACCTCGAAGAGCTAGAGATTTGAAATTTCGAACCTAGATACTTCTTTCGCCCGCGCAGAGTTTGTTTCCGATTATCGATAACTTGCCCCGCTTACAGGAAATCGATAAAAATCGTTATCGAAACCCGGTTTTTTGAGAAAATCTCTTCTATTTGAAGTGTGGTAGAGTCAACAAATTGTTGATTCTATTTGAGTATACACCATATATATATCAAGTATTTTTAATTTTATAGCTATTTTATTTTGGAGCTTATTCGAATATTCTATCGGACAATACGATATACTGCTAAAAATTGCAACAGGATCGCTTAAAAAACACAAAAGTTATTTAAGAAAACGTGTGCCTATATTGTGACACGTGTTTGCGGCAAGAATTTCTGTATACATGCACACACACACACACACACACATGCACACAGCATTGAAACTGCGTTTGTATTGTTTTGCGTGCTGCTATCTTAATACGTTTGTTTTTTTTTTCGCAGCGAGCGAACTGTTGATTTGGCTGTCGCGTAGAGGCGACGGCGAGTGGCGCTGTGTGTTACGGGTTCGAGTCTCGGTTTTACTTTTTTTTTATTATTTATTTTTTTATTACTGCTAAAGCAGAGAAACTTGTAGCGCGAACTGCTTTTGGCATGGGCAGATGCAGTTTCAGGGTATTCCGAACTGTTTTTCACTGCACTTTGGATGAAACAGTCAACGAATCCCACTGTTATTGTTTATTAAAATTGATTTTTCCGTTTTGTATAGTTATTGTACATTCTGGTGTATACACCACTTTCTGCTTGGTGCCCCACCTAGGTTTATTGGTTACTGCACTTTCGGTTGGTCTGCCTGCCTGAGCACCTTGTCGTCTGCTCCAAAGGGCGACTCACACTCAACTGTCGGCTGGTCCTTGCTGGCCGCCTGGGATACTGCTAAGCAAAGCCTCTTTTATCCAAACGTTCTGCGCACGCGCTGAGAGAGCAATTGCTCTGCTCTGCCAATTAACATTATATAGAAAACACTCCAATTAATTGAAGCACTTGCGTCTGTCAGGCATCTACATATCAAGTGAATCCTGTGATATGAATTTGAGCTCGGAATGCCCGAAATATTTTTGAGCTAAGATACTTGAAAATAATTTTGGGTTCAATCGAATGGTAGACTTGGTAGCCAAGATACTACGGGTAGCTTTTAATTTCCCTCAGGAGTTGATAGTTATAAATAATATTTAAAGCACTTGACACGGGTAAGGCCGGGCAATACTAGGGTTTTGAAGAAAATATTTGAAGTATGGTTTGTTGACGATATAAGAAGGAAATATTTTGTTTTTTTTTTTTTTTAATTTTCGTGTATATTAAATCTTTGTATTTTCTTTTTTCTATAAATATTTTTTTACTTTAATGTTAAAGTACAAACAAATTCTTTATAATAAATTTCTAATACTACGTTTTAAGACACTTTCGTTTTATTTTTGTTGTTCTTCATCTTGTGTTGTTACATGCATTTGCTTTTTAATATTTAAATTTTAACCGTGTATATGTGTGTGTGTATGTGTGTGTGTATGTCTTTGTTGCACGAGTTTGTGTTGAATGGCATTGGGGCATATAAGAACTAATTTTGTTTATACAAATTTGCCATTAACAATTTTGCAGATTTGAATTGCGGTGAATTTTTTGTATTTTTTTGTATTTTTATTTTTTATTATTGTTTGTGAATTTTGTGTGGGGATAACTGTGAAATGCTTAGAATTGTTGACATCCATGGTTTTGAATGGGGTTTTATGTATCATAACGAACTCGTTTTATATATGTATTCAGAGATATAATATGTACATATATCGGTACTATATATGAATGTTATTCTAAAGGATCGTGGTTTTATGTAAGTTTCTTTTCTTCTCTTCATTCATTTACATTAACCATGAACTAAGTATCAAAAGACTTATTTAATTAGCAATCATACAATACACATAAGATAATAATATTGAACAATATATATGTATGCGTTTAAAGAAATATTAATATAATGTGTTTGTTTAGCGTTTTGCTTCTGCTATGCATCTTCATTTTCCCCTAATTGTTTAAATAACATTTAGCAAAAATAGAGCCTGCTTTATATACAATACAACTTTTGCTTTCGTTTTTGTTTTTGTGTTTTTGTTTTTGTTTGTTTTTTTTTTTTTACTTTTACTTTTCTTGTTTTGTGTATGCAAAATATATAACATTATATACGGCTTCTTTTTGTATATAAGTGTAGACATATGTTCATTCGCTTTGCAAAACTACAAACACTTTCTATATATTTCTCTCTGGTCTACACGCTATTTGCTTCGTGATTTGCCTTGACTAACTTATTGCAGAGGTTTTTTATGTGCATATATTGGTAGAGAATTTTCGTTAATATTATGAGCGTTTAAAACTAAAAAACAAATTTTTTTTTCGAAACAACGCAAACGTTTGCATAAAAAACTATAAGAACTATTATCTATATTTCGTGTGCATATACTTAAAATAGAATAAAAATAAAAATATAAAAGTATGGTCTGATTTGTTTTGCAATCTTAAGCTTGAATCATTAGGATAAACCGTAGTAAATTATTTATATTCTTAAATGAGTTTATGTTGCATTTATTAGAATAATGTCTAAAGTATATACAAGAGCTTAGATGAGAAAATGAAAATACGCATGCGTGTTAGGGTGTTGTTTGAGTTAACTACTTTGTTATACATTTCTGCACATATTTGATTTTCATCTAATTTGTTCAAAATACATTTTTTGATCTTCACATAAATTGTCTGTTTCACTTGACTAGCAAATCTATTAACCATGGGACATTTGATGAAAAGTAGCGCTCAATTAGTAAAGGGTTGTTTCAAAATTAAAAATATAAGTGAAACATGGATTTATGTGTGTGATGCTGCTCGTCAGAGATGCAACATTATTGCAACCTTGTGTTTACAACTAACTATACAAATATTCAAGGAAAACCTTTACAAAAACTTTTTACAAACAAAAGAATTGGCTTTTGTGTGCTTGTGTGAGTTTAAGCTATGTACAGAGCTCAGAGCCGTTAAACGAAGCATGGTAAACAATTCTTTCAACAATTCAAAACGACGCCGTTATGCCGTTTGCGATGAGCTACTGCCGACAGAACGATCATCGCCCGTCACGCTCAAGTCCGGAACGGATTCCTGAAAACTTAATCCAAGATTGTTGCTAAGCGGCACCATGTTGAGAACCTCGCTAACATCACACCACTGCTGCTGTTGCTGCTGCTGCTGCTGGAGATGGTGCTGCTGCTGGTACTGGTGTTTGCCAGCATTCACATGTTCATTTGAGTTTCCATCGTGGATTTCCAGATTTTGATCGTCCTTCTCACTAAGTAGATTATTCAAACACATGTTGAACTCATCGTAGTCTACAAAGTTGCCGCAATCTAAAGCTGTGGCATTGCTCAAATCTGGCATAAGCAGGCTGACCGCATCGACAGTCAGCGCTGAAGAGATATTAACGAGATCCTCTTTGACATCTTTAATATCGTTTTCAACGCTGCCGTTCTCATCGACGTCGCCTTCAACGTTTTGCGCCTGGTCCAAAGGGAAACTAGTGCTGAAATCAAACCTATCCGGAATATCCAGTTCGATCAGCTCAACCAATTCGTCCTCGTCAGCATCGTTTGCCTGATTAATTCCCTTAGCCAAGGCGCAAAACTCTGGTCACTTGTAATCACGCGAAGTCCTTCTTCGTCGTCCCTCGGTCAGCATAGACTCGCTAATTACTGTAAGTTATAAGAATTTGTATAGAATCTATTATAACATTTTAGTTGCGTACGCGACAATTTACCTGCACTGCGCGTTTTGCGGCGCGCTTCTGCCACACTCTCTACACTCGCATTCGTATTGGGATTGGCCGCCGCACCACTGACTACTCCGGTACCCCCAGCTGCATTTTTACCCGTCGTCCCCTTGTGCTCGGCGGCTGCGGCCGCAGCAGCAGCGGCTGCATTGCTGCGACTGTATATTATCTTGTTAGCTGCAGCGCTCGCCCTTACGCTCCTCCTGGTGCCAACTTTCTCGTCTGTTGGCGAATTGGCATTGACCACATTATTGTTATTGGTAATGTTGCTGGTATTGCCACTGGTAGCAGCGGCTGCTGTTGCGCCACGTGTTGCATGCACCACATTTGTGTTATTATTGTTGTTGTTTGATGTTCCGGCTGTTGCCGCGTTGCTGACAGTCAGCAACGTCGCACTGTTATTGTTGTTGTTTGTGGCAATGGGCTGCGTTTTGGCTGTCTTCGGTGTCTGTGCGGATGTAGTAGCATTCAAACTGGGAGCTTCTGTAAAGTACTCGGGACTGACTGAACAAAGAATCAACATTAAATTGTATTTTCGTTTACTCACTTTGTTGCTGCTGTTGCTGTTGCTGCTGCTGTTGCTGGGCATTGCGTCTAGTCACGTGTCTTTCCTCAAACTGTGCCTTTGAATTGCGCACCTTGCCTGCCACCTCGATTAGTGGCTCGTCCGAGTCGGAAGACTCTATTTCGATCTTCTTCGATAGCACATAATTGAGCCCTGTTTGGTCTGTTATATCCGGATTATTGTTGTTGTTGTTGCTGTTGTTGTTGCTGTTGTTGTTGCCACTGCTGCTGCCACTGCTGACACGTGCACGCTTGGCGCTGTTGCTGCTGGTGCTGCTGCTCGTCTCGCCGACAAGACTGGCGTCGATTGTTCCATCATTGCTGCTGCCGCACTCAGACTCCTGGCGACGGCGTTTAATACAGCTGTTATTATTATTGTGAACTGGTGTTGTCGTGCTCAGACGCGGACTCGGGACTGGCGTAACACGGGCTACGCTTTTAATCGGCAATGTTGGTGTTGCTGCTGTCGCAGAAGCTGTTGTTATGACTACTGCTGACTGTTGTTGTGCTTCTGGGCTGGTCTTTGGAGCGTCCATCGGACTCTCTAGTCGACTAGTAGCGCGTGTTCGGATGCGCGGTGTTTCCGCATCCGATTGCGGGGGTATTTCAATCGATATGGGTTGAAGTGCGTCCGTTAGCTTTTCTTTTTTCTCGTCCAACACGTTTTCTTTTTTATCTGGGCTGTCTTCATCGCGATGTATTCCAGGCTTTGGTTCCTGTTTACTGGCCGTCATAGCTGCTTGTCGGTTGTCCTGCAATTCAGCTTCCTCCGTTTTACAGTTCAAAAGCGTCGGCTGATCCTCCAACATATCCTTTTCCACTTTCATCTTCGATTCGGTATTTGGATCCCTTACAGTTGATAATAGCACAGGTGCTGGTAGCGGTTTATTTTTATCCTCCGTTTCGATGTTGTCCGTTAACTTTTTAATGAGATCGTCGTGTTCAAGTATAACATGCTCCCCATTCAGTTTCGGGGTGCTTGGCGCTATTGTAGTAGTCAAATGGAAGCCACCACCCATTGTTGCAGCTACCGTCTCCTTTGAGGCACTGGCTACAATGTTCTCCGAGTCATCCGGAATGTCTCCCTCCATCTTGGCAAGTGCCTTTTCAATCTCATCGTCGGCATTCTGCAGCTGTTGAAGTTTACTATTGTTGCTTGTTGTTGAAACTGCTGAAGCAACTGCTGCAGATTGTGTTATTGTAGTTGATGTACTTGCTGATACTGTCGCTTGCTTGGTAACCAATTGTTGTTGCATCTGTATGGGACTGCTGGAGGATTGTTGGTGCGGACTTTTTTCAGAGAGCGCATCCATCGACTCTATACCACTGTCTTCGCCGCCGCCATTGTTGCCGTGACCGGGCGTACCGCTTCCGTTGCTGGCGGGCGAATTGCGCAATGTGCTAGCCAGCACAGACGCCGGCGTTGGTGACGATGTAACGCTTGTTGTTGTACTCGCTACGGTTTGTAGACTCACGTGGTTTAGTTTGGGATGCCCTGACGTTGTTATTGTATGTGCATTTGTACTTCCAATTGGATTTTCATTGACATTATTGTTAATAATCGTAGAGTTCATCGAGATGGCCACTGGCAGCTTTCTCTCCCCAATCATTGACAATGTTGCCGTTGCAGTCGCAGTCGGTGTTGTGGGCGTGGGCGTGGCCGTCGTGACGACCTTTATTGTGGCTGTATCTGTTGTGTTGCTCGGCGCCCGTTTGGTGATCTCGACACGCTTCAGCGTCGTCGCACTTGGCAGCATGGTAACGGCCGCCGCCAGTTGTTGTTGCTGCTGCTGCTGTTGCTGCTTCTGTAACTGCAGCTGTTGCACAGCGGTGATGTATGGCGGCGGCTTATGGTTTTTTGTCA